CTATCCAAAACCAGGTCCTACAAACGGTTGGCCAGCACACATGCAGTTCAACTTGCGCAAATGGTGGACTAGTTCCTTCTTCCACCACCATCACCTCATGTTGGACCACCAAGGAGTAAAGTTTGGGAATCATTGCTCTGAATCATTGCTACTCCCTCTGATAGGGCTAACCCAGGTGATTCCATAAAGGGACAGACTAGGATGGAAGTAACCCAGAAGAGAAACTTATCAAGGAGAGGAACAATTCTCTCTGGAATTAAGGAGAAACTTCCTAACAGTGAGGACTATTAAACGGTGGAATGGAAGTTTCCTCCAGAAATTGTGGGTGCTCCGTCACTGGAGGCTTTTAAGAACAGACTTGTTCAGAATGGTATAAGGCAGTGATGGCTAACCTTTTCAGCTTGATGTGTCGAAAATCGGGAAAAAGTGTAGCCTTCCTCGGGTCGTGTGTCATTTCAAGAAATATCAATAATTTGGTTTATGACGGACTGGGCTGGGGTGATCACACAGGGCTGTGAAACTCCTCTCCCTGGTCTCAGGGCTGCAGGTGCAGGATGTGGGGATCGGAAGGCCACCTTACAGGGCTGTGAACCTCATGGATCTCCTTTCCTCCTGTAGCGTTCCTGAGGTAATGAAACTGACAAACCTCACTTTATGGTGGTTAAAACTGGTTCTCTGCTGCAAAGATCTTGCGGCAGCGGTGACACCACGCCTCCACACAACAAGCAAGGAGCAGGGATTGGAGCAGAGCACAGGCAGCCTCTAAATGTGCAGGTTTTCCTCACACCAATAGGCGTGTCAGTCAAAGTGCCTCGGCGTGTCACGAGTGACACGCGTGTCATAGGTTAGCCATCACTGGTATAAGGTCTGTTTGACCAGGGGGTTAGATTAGAAGACTTCCAAAGTCCCTTCCATCTTTATTCCGATTGACAGCTGTCTGCTCACATATTCAGGCACAAGAAACGACTTCTCCCCTTCCCCCCCCCCACACTCCTTCCAGTACCTTCTCCCAAATTCTCACCTGTGTCCGCCGGAGACCATTCCTTTTCTCCTTTCTTTATTATTACCCTTTCTCGGTGGTGCGTCTTGCAAAGCATTTCATAACCGCGATGGAGTTTCATTCTAATTGCTCCACAAACATATTTAGCACTAAGAAGCGATCAAAGCGGTAGGCTTTGTAGGTTAACGTGATGGAGAGTCCAGCCGTTCACACCATCTCTCTCCCTGCATCTCAAGAGGGAAAACGTGCTTGCCACCATTGTGAGCGATCACTGCGGTTGTTAAGTTAGTCACACAGTTGTTAAGTGAACCAGGCTTCCCCCTGGACTTTGCTTGGCAGTTGGTCTCAAAAGGGGATTCCATCATGAATATGAGTCAGTTGCGGACGTTAACTTGGGAACACAGTTGTTAAGTGAATCTGGCTTCTCCGCTGACTTTGCTTGTCAGATCACAAAAGATAACCAATGAGACTCCAGGATGTTGCTTCAACGATCATAAATACAGGCCAAAGACAAGCGTCCGAATTTTGATCACATGACCACGGGGAATGAGGCAACGGTCTGAAGTGCGAAGCGTGGTCATCGATCTCTCTTTTTTCAGTGTTGTTGTAACTTTGAACCAGGGGTGGGATTCAAAAATCCCAGCAACCAGTTCGCTGCCCAGTTGCTGGGTGGGCGTGGCCATGGTGGGCATGGCCTACTGGAACTTTCGGGAGGGCCATTGTTTTTGCCTTCCCCGGGGTCCGGAGGCTTCCCTTGGGCCTCTGGGAGATTGAAAACAACCTTCCCTGGGTCTGGAGTCCCTCCAGAAGCCGGAAACAAGCCAGTTTCCAGACTTTTGGAAGGCCCATTTGTTGTCCTCCCAGAGATCCTGAACTTATCTGCATCCAAAACAGGCTGCAAAGAGACTCCTGGGAGGGGAAGCGCAGGACAGGCAGGGTGGGGCCAGCCAGTCAGTTCAACTACCAGTTCAGCAAACCAGATGTAAATTTAACATCCAGTTCACTCAAACCAGTCCAAACTGGTAGAATCCCACACCTGCTTTGAACTATCTCTAAATCAGGGGGTCGCCAACCTTTTGGACCTCAGGGACCACCAAAGTCATAATTTTAGAACCCAGGGACCACTAACTGGTTCTGTGGGCATGGCCTAATTTTGCTTTGTGGTCATGTGACTGGCTGGGCATGGCTTGTATGAAAATATTATAAATATTTATGTAAATATTGAATTTTTTTATTTTTTTAAAAGTAATTTTTACTCAAAATCAGACAAGGCAGGCAGGTAGATCGAGTTGCTCACGGAATCACAGATTCATTCAGAGATCTATCTATCTGCCATTGGCTAGCTCAGTCTGTCACAAAATTTGCTTGCAGGCAAACTCATAAAATTTGCTAGCAAGCAAACTCACAAAATTAACTCACTACACACCATGTATGGAAATATTGAATTTTTTTATAAAAAGAGCAACTTTTATCCAAAATCAGGCAAAGCAGGCAGATTGAGTTGCTCACAGAATCATTCAGTGATCTCTCAATCTGCCATCGGCTAGCTCAGTCTCTCAAATTTGCTTGCTGTGAGTCTGCACTGAATTTGCTTGCAAGCAAACCTTCAGTCCTAAGGGAGGTTCGACTGTGCTTAGCTAGAAAGCAAGAAATCCAACCATTTCCTGCTTCCTAGCTAATCTAAATCTCCTGGCACAGCAGAACAGATGATGGCTTGGAAAAAGGAAAAATAGCAACTTAGCAGACTAATTTACTGGGTAAGGAGTGAGTGGACAGGGAGGGTTCCCGCGGGCCATGTGGGCTGAGCAGGCTTCTGTTTCTGCACAGCCTGGATTAATTGCTTTGGGGGGGGTGCTCTGGGGGTGTGATTTCTCTGCAGCCCACCAAAAAATTTTCACAGCCCACCGGTTGGCAACTGCTGCCCTAAATGAGTAATTGTAAGTTGGGCATTACCTGTACACAGTTTGGTTTGAAGGAAAGTAGGGTGAAGTTTATTACAATATCCATGCTCAGTCAGCCAGCATGAGTGAGTTGGGCAGCCATCGAAATGTTCTTAATAAATAAATAATAAAAAAATAAATACAAATATCACTTTACAAATCAGGAGACTTAATGAAACAGAGATCATTGTGGATTTTAGAAAGAGCTGGCATAGTCATACTCCACTCAGTATCAAGGATGCAACTTTAGAGGTGGTCAACAGTATTAAGTATTGTGGGGGGCAGATAACTAACAATCCAAACTGGTCTCTCCACAAGTCATCCTTACTGAAGCATGCAAACCAGCATCTACATTTCCTGCATCGGATGAGTAGAGCACTTCTTTCTCCTTCTGTCCTGGCCACTTTTTACAGAGGTATAATTAAGAGCATTTTCACGAACTGCAACCCTATTTGATTTGGTGGCTGCAGTATCTCAGATAGAAAGTCCCTATAGAGAGTGGTGAGGACAGTGGAGAAGAGTACAGGAAGCTCACTTCCCATTATTCAGGATGCTGCTTATAAGCGCTGTGTGCTTAGAGCCCGAAACATTGTTAGAGACCCAACACACCCATTTTATGGTCTGTTCCTGTTGCTCCCCTCTGGGAGGAGGTTTCAAAGTATTTCTAGCATGACTACCAGATGCTGCACAAGCTTTATTCCTTACGCCATCCATCTGGTAAACTCACAAGATTCATTTTTCTCACCATGTACATGTATACATCAGAACTAGAGTGTGTTGTTTCCCTATGACGTAAAATCTATGTGGGTTTATGCATATTTATGTATTTATTTATTTATCTTGTCATGTTTATGTTTATATTAGAGGTGGAGACCCTTTGAGAGCTATATGCAACATAATTTTACATTAACGTATGCCAATTAGTGTACCTTCAAAGTGACAAGTTTATCTATCTATCTATCTATCTATCTATCTATCTATCTATCTATCTATCATCTATCTATCTATCTATCTATCTATCTATCTATCTATCTATCTATCTATCTATCATCTATCTATCTATATCTATATCTAAATCCATATATCCATATCTCTATCTATCTATTTATCTATCATCCATCTATCTATCTATCATAGAATATATGTGGATATATGCATGTTTTATAATTTATTGATTGATTTTTGTCATGTTTATGGAGTATATATTGGTGGTGGTGACTCTTTGAGAGCCACATGCAATTAAATTTGATTTTAATATATAGAAACTTTCATGATGAAACACAACTAAGTTCCAAAGATTTGGAATGCAATCAGCAATATTTGCATCCCAAATCATTAGGATGGTTGTTTTTTGTCATGAAAAGTTCTGTATTTGTTCATTTATTACTTTACATAGCTGCCCAGTTTCAATTTTTTGAAGGTTTGGATATGTCTCCTTGTATGGACTTAGCTAAGGAAAAATCTCCAGCAACATCTACCCAATCACATCTCTGCTCAGAAACGAAGTAGGTTTGGTTCTTCATGATGGAAGGCCACCAAGAAACTCTCAATCTGTAAGCTAGAGAGAACATTTGGGAGGCAGGGGGGAAATGGCCATGCTTTCTAATGATAGTTATGGAAATTGCATGTTTAGAAATTCATTCAGATTTATTCCAAATTCATAGATAAAAAGATAGCCCTAGAAATCCATCTGTCACCCATCAATGGTGGTTTTGAAGAAGAGATTGAGCAACCATTTGTTTGAGTTGGTATAGGGCCTCCTGCTTGAGTAGGGGGTTGGACTAGAAGTAACTGGAAAGTAACCTCCAAGTTACTTTCCAACTCTGTTATTCTGTTCATTAATTAGTGGAACAGCTCGACTCCAGAAGTTTTGGGCACTCCATCACTGGAGATTTTTAAGAAGAGATAGGACAGCCACCTATCTGAAATAGCATCGAATTTTCTCCTTGAGCAGGGGGTTAAACTAGAAGACCTCCAAGCTCCGTTCCAATTTTGTAATTCTGTATTCTGTAAAATCCCTTCTAAATGGTGCTTTCTTTCTTTCTTCTCTCTCTTCACAGATGAACAGGCCGATCCAGGTGAAACCAGCAGACAGCGAAAGCCGAGGAGGTAGCTGGATTTTTCCTTTATACTATAGCCTCTGGCATGCTGGTGTCATTGTGGTTTGTGGGTTCTTCTCTGCCGTGTGGAGATCCATTAGTAACACAATCAGCCTCCACACCCAATTCTCGAGACAGCCCTTCATGAAATCACCTTCATGTTGCGTTGGCATGGCTCGTATTCAATTATTATTTGGTTTTTTTAAAAAGGGACTGGTGATTGCTTAGGAAGCACCAAGGGGTCTTTTTAAGAAGGACACAACTTTGGTGTTGACTTAGCAAAAGTTTAATGATTGCCATGTTGATTTGTTCTCCGGTGTTTCTAAGGCTGAGCGGTTGGCCATCATGTGAGTTTGTTCAGTCCTTGTTCTTTCTTTTAATGGCTTAAGGGGGAATGAAAGCAAGGTTTGATTTTACCTAAGACGAGCCACCGAAGACCTTGTAATCGTTTGATGTTGAAGGAGAAAAGAGAATGTATATGCTGACCAAGACTCTGTATGGTGACAGGAAGGGCATCCGGCCAGTAAACACTCTGCTAGCTTTATTCAATTGCACTGACTCCACCCTGTAAGGGGTCATGGGGTCATTAAAAGAAGATGATAGTTTGTCGGTGGGGTGATAAAGATGGTTTAGAGGGCTTAACCGATTTGTGGCTTGGAATATCTGGGGGAAAGGGGCACCTGATATGTAGATGGACCAGTTTTGTTCTTTCACTAATCTTTCAGATATTTTGTATGATGCTAGTTTGTTGAATCTGTGTTGTGTTGCTTGTTGTATTATCTTCCATGTCAGAGCTGGAATTTGCTAGCAGGCAGCCCAGATTTTAGGGTGTCTACAGAGAGAGTTAAAAAAAACAACAACAACTTGAGATGATGGACTTGAATCACACAGAGAGGGTGAACATCTGGAACCCTTTTGACCCACCCAGTAGATCTCTCTGACAGATTCCAAAATGGGATTTAAGGAAAATAGGTGCTGAACTGTTACAATTTTGGAGAATACACGTGCATTGTTGATTTCATCTTGAGGGATTATGGATTGCTCACCTCTCATCAACCATTGGTGGGCAAATATTAGGGATGTATGACTTAGCCTTGGTCTGATTGGAACGAATAATCCACTTTGAAAAAAAGAAAGGAAGAAAGAAAGAAAGAAAGAAAGAAAGAAAGAAAGAAAGAAAGAAAG